TGAATATTTTTTCGAGTCCCACCTTCGATAACGAATGTGGCATGGGTAAGTATTCGATTCGAGGACTAGGCAAACGGTATACTCCAGAAAAACGGTACCCTCGTTATCCAATGAATTTTCACTTCGTTATGAATTCGTATTCCAGTCCATTATCTAATTAAAATTATAATGAGAGGGAGAGATTGTCTTATATTTCGCTTCGAGAATTTAATTTCGATTTTAATTTTGATTTTGATTTATTACACAATTTTTTAAATAAAATGAAGTGCTTTCTGCTGGGCTATGCGTTAAGGCTTCTCAAATTTTACCCCTAAAAAACCTCGTTTGCTTCCGAACGGAAGAGCTATTAGATGGTATTCTAATACAGTTTCCAAAGGTAAGGTTGTACTTAAAAATCCCTGATTTAAAGTGTTTATTAGCAAGAGCTTATCATTTTGCCAACTGGTTTTTTAAGCAGAATTAACATACTTAGTTTCATAGGTTTGGCTGTAAGAATTTACCATTGCAATTCAATTAATCTTACATCTTGGCTGCTCGAATTTCCAAAGAATAGTCTCATTAGTCAAACATTTCCGGGAAGAAATAGGTAGGATAAGAGGAAAGTTCAAAGCAAAACTTTTTAACATCTCTAAATATAAACTCTATTTTTTCTCAGGGTAATAAAGAGATGAAAATTACTTATAGAAAGTGGAGCATTAAAAAAGTCAGAAAATACTCACCAAGATAGACCTAAAATTCTGATGCCAGAAAAAAATATAATTGCCAAATCTAGCCTCAAAAAGGTTCATCTGGTCACACTTGTGTGTGTTTACGAGCTACGATGAGAGCTGCGAGAATAGCAGAGAAAATCTTAAATCGGTATTAAGTCTACATACATATGTATGTAGATATGTATGTGTTAATCTAGTAGCAGAGCTGTGAACAAAGAGTAACGATACGAGCCAAGAAAATCGCTGATGGAATTTTATTCACTCTAGTCGCTCTTGTCAGCATGGACACTGAAGTTCTTATAAAAGAAGTTTTTGCGAGACCCGGATTGTGGGATAAAAAAAATAACAACCACCACAATATTTTTGTGCTGGAAAAACTATGGGAGGAAGTGGCTGTTGAAATGAAAACTACACGTGAGTAAACTTTCATATTAGATATTCAATTTATTAGCTTATATTGTTAATCATGCTGACATTTTCGTTTACCAAATCGTGTATGTACGTATGTGTGTATGTATGCACGCACATACATTTACTTCAATATTGTCATAACTCAAAAAATATAAAAACTGAACTAAGTATGCAGAAATCACGGAAACCTCTTATTCTATGTAGTGTAATTTCATAGTTGTAACGACTACCAGTAGCTCACTACAACAAAATATGTGTATTATTTTTTACTATGGGAGTATGTATGCGTATGGTTGTGTTCGATAACAAAAAAAGCCACCACCAGCCAACTATT